TATCCGTAGACACACCCCGATTACCCGTACAACGGGATCCCGGATGCTCATCGAGATGAGATAGGATAAGCAGATATAGAAGTGAGGTATGTATATACTCTTTTCTATTTGCTGAAGAGCGGCAAGATTAATTACTAAGTCGTTAGTCAGTGAAATGCACCAACAGAGAGTATGGAGTCAAGTTAGAGCCACGTCGGGATTAGGGTTAAATGTGACGGGACGACAAGACCAAGCATAACAAAAGGAGAAAGGGGAGCGCACAGAAGAGAACAGGGAATACTGACAGCAAACCAATCGTCAAATCACCATGAATCTTCGCCTTGAGCTGAACCTCAATATCCAGATTCAAGTCCAAGCGCAGACGAAGCTGCTCATCACGACCGCCATCGTCTTCCTTCTTCTCCTCACCACTACCGAGGATTCCACCAACAGCCTTGCCTGCACTGCCAGTCACCCCGTTCAGGGCATTACCAGCTGTGTTCTGCACGAGCTGGCCCGCCTGGTCCACGCCGCCAACACCCGGAAGCCCGCCGAGCGGACTGCCGTTTTGTTGTTGCTGTGGCTGGCGCTGGCGACGGACGCGGCGTTGGGGTTTGGGCTCTTGTTCCATTTCGCTGCGTGCGATGGATTCTGTTTCTGATTCTTGGCGGGGACGAGGTCTGCGACGACGTTCGGGCTTGGGTTGGGGTTTTGGTTCTGGTTCTGGTTCAGGTTCGTCGCCTTCTTGTTCGGGCTCGGGCTCTGAGTCCGGTTCTTGTTGTTCGACGGGCTCTTCGGGCTTGGACTCTTCTTCTTTAGGTTGCTTGTCCTGGCCCTGGTCTTGTTCCGATGATGGAGGGGTTTGTTCTTGATTGCCAGGAGACTTCTTGCCTAGTTTGGGAGGTGCACGTTTAGGCTTGATGGGGGTTGTGTTTGTTGAGTCAGGATTAGGAGTGGGAGGTTGTTCTTGATCGGACATTGTGGAAATAGAAGAAGAAGAAGGCTGCTCAGAAGGAGAAATGAGGGGAATATGAATTGATTCGAGCACGAGATATTGAAGGACAAAGCGTTAATAAATGAACTATGTAATCGTGCGTATAGTTGTAATGATGTAGATTGTTCAACCGTCTATATCATCAGAGGAGCCGGGCTTGGAATAAAACTGGGCCTTGTAAATAGAACCTAGCCGCCTCAGACGTCAGATGGTAAACGCTGCTGTGATTGTCGGGTCCATCGATGCCAGATGTTGGGCAGAGAGTCTGGTTTAGCAGGGGACCCTAAGAGGTATGACGTCCGGGACAGGGATCAAGACGTGGCATATGGGGCAGCCTGTATAAATCGGAAAATAATATGTGGCGGATTTTCATGCGCCAATCAGACTGGATATCGGTGAATTTGGTGCATTGACGTTCTCCACTGAAATAGATTAAGTAGACGTGTAAGACCTGCAATTGACGCCACTCGACGTCAAGGTCTTCACAGTAAATTGCCTGTATAAACGAGTTAGCCAATGAGATGGATAGAGAGGCAAATTACTTGTTCCTGGTGCTTTTTCCTTTTCCATTTGGTTCAGGCCACGAGTCTGCTTTTGTTTCCACGGATCGTGACGGGATAAAGGCGGATATCCCAGTTGGCCACTTAGGGGATTCCGGACATTTGTTGTGGATTTTCACTGTGGACACGGCCATTGTCAACGGTTGCCCTGGCCCGATATTGTCTCCGAAAATGACGGTTATGCAGGTTGGAGGTTGGAGGGAGACACGTCATGTCCCTCAGTGCCGTTTTCCTTGAATAATCCATATTATACTCTTTCTTTCCATTTTGGTTTATGTTTAGGATTTCCTCCTACTTTTATGCATTTTTCTTCCTTTAATATCATCTTCTTTCTACCTCTATACTCTATAATCTAGTCCCATCACATCCATCCCATGCATTATGGCGACCGTTGAAAAAACCAAAGAGCAGCCCAAGAAGCTCCCTGTGGACCTCTCCGACGGTGAAGACTATGACAGCGCCGACGACTATACCGACGACTATACCGACGAGGAATATGAGTCAGTACCACAAACAAAGACACAGAAGAACAGACAACTGCAGAAGAAACCACTGCAGAAACAGAAACCACCTGTTCAAGACGACTTCGACGAATACACGGATGAAGATGAGTATGGCTCAGACGAGTACGAATACTCCGACGACGAACCCGTGCAGCCGTACTCGAATGAAAACTCAAACTTCAAGCCTTCTGGCGGCATGGACGTCCTCCACAAGGAGGAGAAATCAATGCTGGACGAGGAAGGCATGAAGCTGAGATTAGAACTGAATCTGGAAATTGAGGTCGAGCTCAAAGCACGCATCCACGGAGACCTCACCCTAGCTCTCATGTAAGTGATAACTGAGGCATGGAATCCCTCCTCCCCCCAAACCCCCTTTCGAGAATATCTGCTCAAAGACCGGATTAGGAGTTGATCGCGTTTTATATCAACAACAGGGCTTGATCACCCATTCTGGTTCCATTGCCAATCTATCACGAAGATCCAACGTCGTCACGAGTGATCCTTTTTCAATGCTTCAATTGCTTCGATGCTGCTTTTAATAGAGCCACGTTTTGGTTTAATATCTTCCCTTTTATCTGTTCGGGATCTTTTTCTTTTTACAGTGGCTTTCCTGGTCGGCGTGCAGGTCCAAGGGGATGCAATATACCGGAGTGTATACTGCTATGTATATTCCTTGGACGATCACTTGAACGGAGTTGAATTCATTGTTCTTGAGTGCAGCAGTGTATCTAGTAGTGTAGTGTAGTGTGATGAGTGTAAAGTGTCGCGGAAACTGTGAAGCCGAGGCCCGGGTCTTGGCACTGATTTCTACTAACCCGTTGTGTTACCAACTCCCCTCACATTGTACTTGGTGTTCTTCTGTACTCGGTCCAAATCTCAATCGTTTCACTTATTTCGTACAAGTCCAGTTCAATTGACACTGTACACTCCCAATACAACCATGTCGTCCAAAGACTTCATCATCACACACATGAACGCCGACCACCAAGATTCTCTCATACTATTCCTACAAGCCTATTGCGGTATCACATCTACCCAAGCCAAAAATGCCCGACTGGAAGAAATCAGTACCTCAAACCTGATCCTCACCGCTCAAGGTACTCGCTACAGCGTCCCCATCGAACCCGTGATGAAGGACTACTCGGAGGCGCGCGGGCGAATGGTCGCCATGCACAAGGAGAGCCTAAAGCGTCTGGGCCGCAGCGAGATCACACTCACAGAGTACCGTGCCCCGCGCGGCATTGAGGCCGTGATCTTTGTGCTGTGTTTGTTGTTCTACGTCACCTGCTTCCAGCGCAGCAACCTGCAGCCTGGCTCAGATCTCTACGAGTACTTGGGGCTCCACCGCGTTCCCTGGTTTCCGCGTATCGTCTGCATTCTCCACCCGTACGTCGTGGCTATTCATATCGTTGAGACCATCGCACTGGTTGTGACTCAGTTGAAGCCCCTGAATGTACCTGTTCTGTCGGGTTTGTGGTGGAAGTGGGTTGCATCGTGTTTCGTGGAGGGATACGGTTCGTTCTCGCGCATTAAGAAGATTGTGAAGGAGCAAAAGGCGAAGAACGGCAAGAGCCAGTAGAGGGTAGCATAGGCAATCAATGTGTGCAATTACTAGCAGAGAATGTCGATCATTTGTATACGTATGGATTTCAGGTAGCTGCAAGGATAACTGGAAATAGACAATCTGAGGTTCAATGTTGTACAACGTTGGGATGCAAATGGCTTGAATGTTCGGATCGTCTTCGATGGCCCCTTCCAGATCATGGATGTGGTAACACGTGACTATATGCTGAGTCATACTCTAAACATCACCTGACCGATCTAGTGTCTGATCCAGTAACTGGGGCCACTAATCCCAATTTGGCCTAGTGCCGGTTAGGGCACTACACAAGCGAGCGACACAGTGCGCCCTGCGAAATTCAGCGACTCCACGACCTCAAACTCCCACGACAACCCTACGACAACTAATCTGTGTTTCTGGTGAAGGGCTGCACATTTAGAGGTGAGTTATCGGGCTATCTCAACTCCTGCAAGGTTCCTTTCGAAAAATTCTGTTTCGCTCGCTGCGCCCATCAATTTCGATCATCGGTATTCAATTCCTCCACATCAACTTTCGATCCTGTCTCACTTTCAACGATCACACAACCACTCCGCTGCCGTTGTCGCCCAATTATTCGATATTCGAAGATTGATTTTGTACGGTGCTCGCGACGAAACAGAAGGATTGAAAGAAGAAAAGAAAAAAAGAAAAACTTGGACAAGGTCCACAAGAAATCAACAACGTCTAACTTGTGTCCGTCGACTTAGACCCCTCCATCAATCGCAAACATGGGTATTTCTCGGGATTCTCGCCACAAGCGCAGCGCCACCGGTGCCAAGCGCGCTCACTACCGCAAGAAGAGGTACGATTCTATCAACCCAGAATGAGATCGAATGTTTCTGCCATTTGGAGGGAGAAGAAAAAAGGATTCGATATACCAGTTGCAGATTCTTACATGTCTTTGTTCTACAGAGCGTTCGAGAAGGGCCGCCAGCCCGCCAACACCCGCATTGGCACCAAGCGCATCCACCTTGTCCGCACCCGTGGTGGCAACCGCAAGTTCCGTGGTCTCCGTCTCGACTCCGGTAACTTCTCGTGGGGTTCCGAGGGTATCTCCCGCAAGACCCGTGTCATTGGAGTGTCCTTCCACCCCTCCAACAACGAGCTGGTCCGCACAAACACCCTGACCAAGTCCGCCGTTGTCCAGATTGACGCTGCCCCCTTCCGTCAGTGGTACGAGGCCCACTACGGCCAGCCCATCGGCCGTAGACGCCAGCAGAAGACTGAGGCTACTGAGGAGAAGAAGTCCGCCTCCGTCGCCAAGAAGCAGGCTGCCCGCTTCGCTGAGTCCGGTAAGACTGAGTCCGCTATCGAGCGCCAGTTCGAGTCCGGTCGCCTGTTCGCCGTTGTTGCCTCCCGCCCCGGCCAGTCCGGCCGCTGTGACGGTTACATTCTGGAGGGTGAGGAGCTTGCTTTCTACCAGAAGGCTATCCGCAAGTAAACGAAAAAATAAAATATTCGGTTGTTGCAACGGGTGGATCGGAGTTTCAGCTATGTCATGATCAGAGCATCCACAGGATGCAATTTGTCTGTAGAGCTCTGAACCATCAAATCCATGGGCATGTTCCTAGTTTCATCTCTTTGGTAATTGCATTCCTAATTGTGTAGTATACAAGTATCGAGGAAGACAATCTTGGGTAAGACTCAAGAGGGAGAACATGCTTCAATGTGTTCTTATAGGTGTTGGGCAGCCCGTGTACTTGGGAAGAACAATCTCCGGGATCGTTTCCCGACCTCGGGAGGCCGAGCTGCTTATCCATCTCTCCCCGCCAACCTGACTTTCCCTCAAATCAACCAACATGTCGACCATTAAAACCCGCATTTGCATGATATCAGACACACATACAAGCACACCACATCCACCCCAAAGAACCGACCATGCCTACCGCTATCCACTCCCAAAAGCGAACATCCTCCTCCACGCCGGCGACCTCACAAAAGTGGGGTACCGCGTCGAGCACGAAGCAATGATTGCCATGCTCGCCGACGCCGACGCAGAGCTCAAGCTCGTAATAGCAGGCAACCACGACATAACCCTAGACGAAGAATACTTCACAACCTTCGGCTACACCCGTCACCAACGCCCAGAGCAGCTAGGCGAGGGCTCCATCCTGCTATCAGACGACAACCTCCAAACCACCCTACGCACCTCCTCAACCAAAACCCCAAACACAGACTCCCTAAAATCCTATGCTCGCTCCATAAAATCCCTCTGGACAAGCGAATCCGCCCGAAATGCGGGAATAATCTACCTAGAAGAAGGAGTCCATTCCTTCACCCTGTCAACAGGCGCAACATTCACCATCTACGCTTCCCCCTACCAACCAGAATTCTACAACTGGGCTTTTGCATACCCCCGCAATCAAGACCGCTATAACCCCGCCCCCGCTGCACTCCCACAGCCCAAAAACCCAATCCCCGACTACCCGGCCATCGACATCCTACTAACCCACGGCCCGCCCGCCGGAGTCCTGGATCAGGTCCCGCCTGGTTTAAACGTTGGCTGTGAGAATATCCTCCGCGCGGCGCGGCGCGCAAGACCACGACTGCATCTCTTCGGTCATATTCATGAAGGGTGGGGTGCGCAGCGTGGGGTGTGGGATGACAAGGCAGGTGCTGGTGGGGTTGTTAGGCTTGAAGATGTGCCGACAGATGCGGAGGAAATGCTGGAGAATCGGGGCGCGTTTTGTGACGTTAGTGCCGGGGCGGATCGGCCGCTGCAGGTTGGGGAGGAAACGCTCTTCGTGAATGGGAGTATTATGACTGTCGCGTATGAGCCGAGGAATGCGCCGTGGGTGGTGGATTTGGAACTTCCTGTTGCTGGGAGATAGGTTCTGGGGGTCTATTGTATTGGTATATCTTGCGAGATGTTCGACGGTTCCTGGGTATGGTATGATGCTGGGCAACTATTGCGACTATGGATACATAGACTATGAACTGATAGTAGATTGGTGCTGGTAAGAGAAACTTTGATGCTTGGCGGTTATTTCGGGGTCTTTTGTGTATATTTTCGGTTAAATATATATATCATGAAGGGTTCAATTGTCCTAAGCAAAGTACAAGTTGCTGGTAGTATACATAAGGATGAATTGCGGAGAGACTGTGTTGTATCCAGGATATATATTTACCAAGGGCTAGGATAAAGAGGTATGCGCAGAATGTACTATCAACTGAGAATTGCTACATCTATGAACCGAACAAGCTAGGATCGAACAAGGATAGTACCTATCTAATGATGGTTGTATTCTTCTATATATACGCAGTAAAGCACAAGAAATAGCTACGAAGAAAACGCTGAACCACCATAGCAAGACCATCAAGAAACAGAAGCAAATAAAATATCAAATCATAAAGCCAAAAGAAATAAGAATAGAATCCGCCCTAAGGAGCACCACCAAGACCTAGGACGTTTATTAGCTCCTGCAAAGACATCATACTATACCAAGAGACTCACCAGCAACAAAAGCCAGGTACCAAGTACGCGAAGCACCGCCATCAATCCAGCTATAGTCGAAGTTCGGCTGGGCAAAGAATTCCCACGCCGATTTGGAATCGATGAGGGCCAGGTTGGCGTACAACACACCCCTCCATCCGCCGTCGACTTCGGAGGCCGGGGTTGAGGCGTTTTCAGCGAACATTGCCTGCCATTCCTGGCGTACGAACTCCTTTCGTCGTGTGAAGGGGCTGTGTGGCATGAGAGGTAGCATGTGGATTCTATGGTGATCGTTAGTAATAGTTCAGAGTAAAACAAGAACGGGACGGTGCTATACATACCCCTGGATGAATTCGAGGTTGGCACCGAAATAGGTGGTGTGATCGACTTTGTTCTCGAATAGCTGTTTTTTAGTCTGTTAGTGTCGAGTTCGGGTTAGACATGGATGAAGATGGCGGTACTTACAATTCCGGTGACCTTGTTCGCAATAAAGTTCGCAGGCTGGTTGACATTGTCATCCTCCATCAAGAAGTAGTTATTGAGAGATCGACGCAGGATGCCCAGCATAACATTGCCACGAGCTTCCATGCTAGCATCGCCGGTCGTCTTTCCCCACATCTTGATCGCATACGCGAACATGGTATCTTCCGAGGTAGATTCCTGATCCTTGCCATCAAAAGACTCGAACAAACCTTTCGCCCAAGAGTGACCGTTATACCAATCAAACGAGCGCGAGAATGGGAAGTGCGGATCATTTGCAACAGAGTTACCAGCATCACGAACAAGCATGTTGACCCACTCCTTGTTCGCGGCCAGCCAGCTGGGATCAAGAGCGCCGATGATGGCGGCTGCTTGGATGAAGTAGCCATAGTGGAAGTGGTGGTCGTTGTACGCTGTGTTCCCGAAATCCTGGTTCAGATCGCCGTTATAGCCGGCGGTCGAGACAATGCCCTTCCAGACGGAATCATAGGCGAGCGGGAATTGCTGCTTGTTCTGCACGAATAGATCGAAGGACTTCTTGAGCGTCTGGAAGGCATCTGCTGCTAGCTCGACGTTGTTGCCGAGCTGGTTGACCGTATACACTAGCATTGCGAATTTGCTCAACGCCTTGCCGCTGTAGTACATGCTGTTGAGATCCGTCTGTTCTGAAATGTTCTGCTTGAGCTCGTGGGGGGCAGCCTGAATAATGGCGTGCTGGGCTGCGGCGGACAGCTCGTGAACACTGCCATGGGTGGTTGACCACGGGGCGAATCCGATGTCGATGGGGAGGTTTTGTTCGACCATAGTCCAGCTTTCTCCGATTACGGCAGTGGAGTTGCCCTTTGTTGTGGTGCGAAGGTGAATATCGGTGATACGGCCCTTGGTGGCACTGTCGAAGGAGTGGACGTGATGGGGTAGCGCGAACATGATCAGAGGAGTACCTTCGATGTCCTTTCCGGCCTTGGTCCAAGAGAGCGAGTAGCCGCCCACATCACCTGTGATAGAGCCAGAGATCTCTCCTGCCACCGGGTAGACGCCAGAAGAGTTATCATAGAATTTCTCGCCAGATTTGCCAGCGGTGTTCTTCGCAACTTGGATAGTACCAGAAAAGCCTTTGGGACCGCGAAGTTGGGTCTTTGAGACTAGCTTTAATTTCGGATCCTTGCCATCAGCCGGAGTGGCATAGAGAAGCCAGGTCGTCTCATCGTCAAGATAAACCTGGTACTTGAAGATGCCGGTCCTAGGCGAATCGGCGCTGACGATCTTGCGGAAGAAAACACCGCTTTCAATGAGGGGCTGCAGGTCATTGTACACAGCTGTTGCGTAGCCCATCCCTTGCACAACGGGGAACATAATCTGTTGAGCAGAGCCTCCGGGGCGCTTGATCACAGCGTGGGCTGAGAAAGCCTTTGGCTGTTCGACGTCCATGACGAAAGACTGGTCAAGCTCGGTTGCAGAGAAGATCAGATGTGGGAGGCCGACTGGGTTGATGTAGTACTGCACTGGGTCTCCGGGGATCTTGTTGTTCGGAGGTCCGTATGCAAGCATGTGAGGCTGGATATGGGAAACAACCATACCCCAGCTCTTCAGGGAGCCGCCTCCCTTGGACCATGACAGAGAGTAGGGCTGAGTGAAGGTAGTATTGGTCTGAGAGCCCAGGTAAAGGCTGGCATAGAACTTATTCGTCGCAATCGGGTCAGTGGTATTGGCCTATAACACAACGTTAGAATGTTTGTTTCGTATTGGGTTCGAATTCGGGATTATCTTACATGCTCGTTCTTCACAGGGTGGTCATCTCGAGACTTGATATTAGCAGGGACAGGACCAGTCGCAATCGGCTGGAATATATCTTGGCCATGCATGGCTTTAGAATTATCTGGTGCAGCCGGGCGTGAAGAGGGTTCTACTAAGCATTAGAATATGTGCAAAGTGCCACAACAATTCATGTTCAATCATACCATGCACCACAGTAGTACTCGGTTCGGCCTGCGGTGAGTCCGTCACAGATCCAGCTGTAGGAATTAGCGCTGAGTTTTCAGGTTGTTTGGCTGAAGTTGTCGCTTCAATAGGATCAGATTTTCCTGTATAAGTAGACTGTGCTGTCGCGGCCGGTGCTGGTCCAGTAGAATCACCACCCGAGCCCAACAAATCTCCTAAGCCGTCAACGAATTGGGCAACGTCAAAATGTGGGAAAGGCTGCTGTGACGAATGTCCGTCCTGTTCCAAAGCTACTCGATACACCTAGTCCAAAATGTCAATACCATGCCATATACCATGCAGCACATTCCTCTGAGACGTACTGGGTGTGACTCGGGGATCAGGAGCCGGTCTTCACTGTTTGAAGGTGGATACTGAGTCTCAAAGGCACTCGCAGACTCGGTAGCTGTGTTTTGCAGAGTAGCTTCTACCTCGTTTCCCACGTGCGGGAGACAGTGGGATATTTCTGTGGCTAGAAGCCAAGTCAGCAAGGCTGTAGCCTTCCATTTCGAGCGCGAGTCCATGATGCAAAGCCAGATCTGGTCAAGAGCTTTAAACACGCGGAGATTGTAGTAAATCGTGTGCTACTCCTCGATTCAATCCAACTGGATATGAACCACGTGAGGGCAGACGACTCGGAGGGGTCCGAAAGGCAGATGTAACTGGCAAAGGAGACAAGTGACTTAAGAGAAAAAAGCAAACTTACAAGTATGTGCTATGGATTCCAGGAGACGGGTTATACCTCCTCGGAGCTCAAACACTCAGGTCCAGATTGGGACAACACACGGGCTGGTTTGTTGTGAATGGTCCGCAGATAGATTCCACAGACTGTCGATCTTGATCGATCTTCATAGATGGTTAGCATTGTACAATCTCTAGCCAAGTGGAATGATAGGAGTTGGTTATCGTGTCTGGCTCAGCAATGTAGGGCGCAACAGGCAACACGTCGAGTCCGCGTGCGTTCCCCACCGGCAAGAATGTGTGCGGGAATGACTGCAACGACCATCATCCACTTACTAAATTATATGGGGCTGAAGTTAAGGTAATTGGGAGAGACAAAGTAGATGTGAATACTCAGTGACTTGAAGTTGGTTGTCAACTCCAGGCAGCACTTGCCAAGGGATCGGCCACGTGCAGTGGAAATAACCACGGCAGGATGCAAAAGGTAAAAGGAAGATAAACATGCATATATTCAAATTCAAATTGCTGAAAGACATCGGGGATGACTCAATATGAATCACCAGACAGTCCATGGATACTTTTGCTGTATCCCTTGGTGATCTTTGTCTTCATGTCGCCGCTAAGCTCGACAGCTGAGGTCGGGAGAGCGCAGGGCCGGCCCATGGCGTACAGCGAGTCAGTGGAATCCAATTTGTTATTAGGGATGTGTATATGTTACAGCAGTGTCCCGAATACAAAAGGTCGTTGGATGCACTTGCATATTTCAACCCGTTCCATCAAAAGCATCAAACACATCACCAACGCGAGAAACTAACGCCAAGAGAATCAAAGCTCAACCGACTGTGACCGAAGACTAATTCATAACCCATTCAACAACTTCCCGACTCAAAAGAAGATCCATGATCTAGACTGTCTTTCCCGCTGGGGCACCGAGGTACCACTCCGCGAAGGCCTTGTAAGCCATCGATGTGGTTTGCTCGTCCGAGAAGTCATAAAGATCAGAAGAGCGTAGGATAATGCTTTCATCCTCAAAGTAGCTTGCCTATAAGCGAGATAATCATGATCTGTAGGATACCCAGTCAGCAACCATAACGTCGAATAGTGAAAGGGGAGAAAAAAGACTTACCGGTGCGACATCGTGCTGAAGTGACCGCACCTTTCTTAACTGGCCTAGCGTTAGGCGGAGGATGATCAATAGCTCTCCACGGGACACTTCACTAGCCTCCGTCTCTAGACTATTCCAAGTGACTGCTTTCATATGTGGGAATGCTTCTCCAGCGACGTCCCCGATCTGGAAACGCCAAAAGAGGGTTTGTCATAATACTTATACAAAGTCTTGAAAGGGTTTTATTCGCAAAACACTATCGAGTAGCGTTAGAAACTGTGAATCCATACAACAATATCTTTTATAATAGCAATAGATAATACTGGCGACATCGAACGGCATATGTGGTCGTCTTTATATGATAATCTTGCCCTTTGAAAGATATAACTTTTCCATTGCCTTTCAGAGTGATATGCTCGAGACATTGCATCTTGAAAAAATCCGGGTCGGTTACACCATCGACCGCTCCACAGATCAGTTCGTCGCTAGGTTGCGGGAGGTTGTGTCTAGGCGAGAAGAAGCGGGGCTTGAGTCTCCTTGAGAGTTATAGGCTGGCGCTTGATGTTCAATTTGTCAAGTGTGACGCGTCAAGTGTATGCACTTTCGGTTTATCGATGTCAGCCTCGAGCCTGATCAGAGTCTTACGCTGCTTCAAATGGCGCTTTGACTGTACGGGAGTTGGTTTTGGAGACATATTTGGTAGTGTTCTAATGGCTTGGGAGTTTTAGGAATTTGAAGCGGAACTGGGATGTGAGGGGGTTTTATGTTGAAGGATCGGAGGATCTCAGCGGGATTTGTACTAAGCAATGGAAGAGGAAGGAATGGAATTCAAACAGGAGTAGTACTTTTAATCGGGTTAAAAGTGAAAAAGTGTGTTGTGATGTGGAGTTGCCGGGCGACACGCTAGGACTAGGGGCGGCTATAATCGAACTAATCCTAAACAGCAAGTGATGGTGACATTGGAAATGGCATGTATGAAGTGAAATAAAATATTTACATTCATTGCATAGGCTTCGACATGGGCTCGATGATGCCCTGCTTGATCATGACACGAGGCTTTGTGCCACTCTGGAAGCTTTCTTTCGTAGACCACTCAGGGCCCAGGGGCAACCGCAGGGACCGTTCGTACTGCTGTTTGGTCTCGAACTCGTGTGGCAACTGGCTTGCCATATACTTCTTGTTCTAGAGTAAAAAGGGTTAATAGGTTGTCCGTGTTCGTGTAGGAACAAGACTTGGCTTACCTTCTGGACTCGCTTCTGGTTGATAATGACCCGATCGAGCTTTGCATCCTTGCGCTGATGGGGCTTCACACCCGCCACAGTAGTCAGGTCTCGCTTTTGCTTCTTTTGCTGTCTCTTGCTGACACCTTCGCCGGCCCAGCTGCCCCAGCCCGGGAGGGTGTTGTCCACAACCTGGTCGCCTTCGTCTTCAACGGTGTCCATCTTGTCTTGTTCGAATTCCTGGACAACTTCATCGCCGGCAAAAGCTCTCTTCACGAGGTCGTGGTTCTTAAGCAAGACGGGCACCTTCTCCTCATCATCGCTGTCGTTCTCGTCGAACTGCTGCTTCGCGTGTGTAGCCTTGGTGTTCTTTTGCTTCTTGCTCTGTTGCTTCGCCGGAGCAACTTCGGGCTGGGTAGCATCGAGTGAAATGTCAATGCTCTCTTGGGCATCTGGGCCAGTTCGGCGACGGTTGGTCCGTTCGGTCTGAATCAACCAAGGGTTCTCCTCCTCCGCGGGGGTGTTCTTTTGCTGACTGGAAGAGTCGCGCGAAGATTGTGAGACCTTTTTGTTGCCGGAAGCTCCTGACTTGTGCTTGGTAGTACCGTTGACAACAATGTCAACATCATCGTCTGATACTGGTACCCGCGCACCTTCATCATCGGAATCTAGCCTCTCCTCGAACTCATTCTTGGGCAACTGCTTTGCGTGAGATTTGGAGTCGGACTTCTTTGATTGACCGAACTTTCGTCGACCGACCTCCGACTCTGCCTCGGACAGAGACTCCTCTCCGTGGAGTTCACGATTGAGTTGGCGAAGCTCCGCATCGTTCTTTTCTTTGCGGGCGGCGTCGGCGTTTTTCATGAATTTCATTTCGAAAAGGTCAGCATGGGGCCCCTTCACACCGTCCCCAGTATCATCACCGCCCTCGAGGGCCTTGAGCTTCTTCTGGATCTTTTGTCTTTCCACATCGGAACCTTCCTCGTTCCAAGGGTCGTCATCTTCCGATTCGGAGCTTGAGGAGCCCAAGTAGTCATCGTCTCCGGTGGAAACACGCTTGCCTTCGATTCTCTTCCGTAGTTCCTCCTCTCTTTGGGCCAAGTCGGCTGCACTGTTGCGGGCCTCTTCGTCCCAGGCAGTGCGACCGGTCTGTTTCAAGCCCTTGGCCCATTTGCTTTCACGATGCTTGGAGCCCATACGAGCTTCGGCTCTCAAACGCTCGTTCTTCTCTTGGTCCATATCGCCTATATCCACACCGGCCTCCATGAGTGCGTTCTGCTCCTGTTGCTCCATCTTTTCGCGCTCTTTCCGGTGAACACGGCGATAAGACTTGCTCTTGATCTTCTTGATGCGCTTGGCGCGCACTTCCTCTCGGAAAAGCAGGTCACGTCGCTTACGGAGTTCTGCGCGCCGAGCCTGGATCTCCTCAATAGGAATATTGCGGGCCTGTAATTCTTCGAAACTCTGAATCTGGTCCTCGGCTGACTTGCCTTCAGCCTCAGCCAGCCCACTCTCCACAAGGATGTTCTGGATGACGTTTTCGAGGTCTGTTTGCGGCTTGGCAGCTTCCAAGCGGTGAGTCTGCTCAGCATCAGGATCACGTAGCGGGAAGGAAAGGTGTTCGGCTCTGCGGTTGGCTTTGACGGTTTCGAGCCAGCGGTTCAAAGTCTCTTTGCTCTTCTCGTAGGCAGCAGCCCGGTCAAGTCGGTCCTGTTGGCGTTTTGCTAGAGGAGCATCTAGCTTGCCCGGAATGCCCGATTTTGATGCTTGGACAACAGAGTCGATATGTTTGAGCGAGTTCTTGAGACGGGAGTCGGTGATTGAGGGTAGGAGATCGGCGACAGTCAATTTGTTGGCGGTCGTCAGGCCGAATTCAGAAGGTTTGCCTTGTTCTTGTGATTTTTGTGTACGTTTCGTAGGTTTTTCGGTTTCCATAGACTGGACAAAGTCTTGCAGTTTTGAAAGTCCGTGCGGATCCGCATCGGCACCGTCGTCCGAGATAGACAGCCCGTCGTCGCTGGCATCACTTTCACTGTCCCCCTCTGATCCAGAATCCTCGTCGCTATCATATTTCGCAGCCCGCTTGGCTTTCGCAGCTGCTTCCTGGGCTTCCTCCTCCTCGGCCGCCATATTCATATCCCAGGCGGTGGCGAGGTCCACAGCGTCTTCTCCCAGGTCATCGTCCTCGTCGTAGTCTTCACCGTCAGATTCCTCATCCGACTCGTCGACATCCTCAGACAAGCTGATCTCCGTGGGCTTCTTTGGCTTGGGTGCCGCTTTTTTCGGCTGAGATTTGGACTTGGATGCGCGGAAAGTGAAGCCCTCGAATCGCTCTTCGTCGCTCTCACCGAGAGCTTCGTCGCTGTCCAATTCGCTGTCGTCATCGCTGTTCACTTGTCCGAGAGTCCATTCGTGTCCCTCACTGTCGCTGCCACCATCAAGGCTCCCGGTGTCCTCGGTTCGGCGGCGTTTGTAATGAGCGGCGGTATCCTCCTCGTCGTCCTCGTCGTCGTCGCCGCCCGTGTTTCTCTTGCGGTTGAAGGTGCCATCATCGTAGGCTCCAAGACGACTGCGTTTAACACCCAATTTAGTGTGAATTGTCTTCTCTGCAATTGACAGTGCATTCAGCGACCGTGTGCTTTTCCGCTTCGGCGCTGCTTTTTGCGCTGAGCGGTCTTTCGGACCCTGCTTCTGGGTCTGACTGCGAGGCATAGTGGCGTATGAGTCAAGAAGTCAAATTCTTGACTAGGAAAGAAGCTTCAGATTAGTACTAAAGAAGTACCAAATGATCTGATTGCTGCTTTCAAGAGGGGTGTAGATGGTGTTGAACTTTTTTTCTGCCGGGAAAAAAAGTTCTCGGCGCGGAGATTAGCGCGACCCGTTCATTCGTCGAGTTTTGTCTCCCAACTCCCTCCGGGACAACTCGACTCGCTCTATCACTCTTCTGTTCCAACTTCAAGGTTACAGAACTGTCGCCATAATGTTCAAGCCCACGCAACCAATGATGGTGCGTTTGCGCTTGACTACTAAGCAGGTCAATGGTGGCTACTACAAGGGAAACCGGACCGGCTCCATGGGTCACTTCGACAAGAGAGGCACATACAGGCCCGATATGTCGAAGCACCGTGTTTATATGCCTGCGGAAAAGCTCGAAATTCCCGGGAGGCCTTACACCGCTGAGACCGCGAAGGAGCCATTCACGGTTAGCATTCGAAACCATTTGATACCCAGTTAGCTAAAACGTCGGATCTGCTAACATGGTTATAGCTCGCCCCCTTCGTCACAAAACATATGCGCAAGACACCGTCGAACTACGTCCAAGATATCGAGAGAAATGGTCGCACGACTACCGTGATCAGAGCATTTGAGGGCCAGGACTATTTGGAGAAGTGGGCCGAGACCGCTGAAGCCGAAGAGGCCCGACTAGCACAACCGTACACCAAGAAGATTGAGAAGATTGAGACCGAGCCGACGCCGCAGCTTGAGCAGACTGAGCAGATGGAGAACCAAGAGCTGGCCCAAGTGCCCAAGACGCCCAAGCGCAAGCCCTCCAAGACCCTTTTCTAGAAATTCCACAAGACCGAAACCGAATAGCGGGGATTGTCTATATGTTTCAACTGAATGTGAGTGCGCAGCAGCCCAGGCGCTTGAGAATGCTCCCTAATATTTATGCCAGTGGCCCAGCATACCATCCACAACCATCTTCGCTGGGCATCACTCAACAACTTCATTGATCAACCTTCTCTCCGCTGATTGATCGAATATATCCCATGTATTATAGTCTCTACAACATCAACTTGATTTGGACCACGGAGGACCCCGATTCATCGGTGGACGTGTACCATTTGGCATTGAGACAGGAGCAATTGTGTACTATTTTGGCAAATTCATGAATATCAGATTACAAAAGTTTCAAGTAGTCTCTCGCCTCTT